CACCATGTTGGTCAGGCTGGTCTCGAACTCCTGACCTCAGGTGATCTACCCGCCTCGGCCTCCCAAAGTCCTGGAATTAATTACAGGCATGAGCCATGGTGCCTGGCTGACTTTTTTTTTTTTGTTAGCATTATAACAAAATGATGTTATTTAAGGGCCTGCTGTATAGTAAATACATAAACCAATTATGTATTCATTTATTATCATTATCAAGTGTTATATACTGTAGATAACTGTATGTGCTAGACTTTAATATGGCTGGCAGCACAGTAGGTTTGTTTCCACCAGCATCACCACAATCATGAGTAATGCATTGTGCCGTGACCCCTTGACTGCTGGGTCACCAGGTGATAGGATTTTTCAGCTCTGTTGTACTTTTTTTTTTCTTCCTCAATTCATAGGAAGCTCTGTTATACTCTTATGGGACCCGTGTCATATATGTGGCTTAGCATCATTGACCGAAGGGTTGTTACGCAGTGGATGACTGCATCAAATATGCCATTCCAAGACAACTGGGGTTCCATAATCTCACGTTTCATATTTTATTAGAATAAAGTAAAGCTAATAGCACTTAAATTATTTTTGTAAGAAGAGGAATTAAAAAACAAAAACTACAAAGTACTGCTATTTGATTTATGTAACAGATAATCCTTTAACCTAAGGGGTTTGCATGATAAAAATGACCCCTTTGGTGTTACCCCAGCATATATACATTTACAGATATGATTTCATGTATCAGCTTTAGAGGAGGGGGGAAAATAACTGTTCTTGTTATTTTAAAATCTATGATACTTGAGTATAAGTGGAAAAGAGGTGTGATTATCATAGAATGAACTTGAAAGGGATAAAAAGGGTTGACATCTGTTCACTTAACAAATATTTGAGCACCTATTATTTTATTTATTTATTTTTTTGGAGATGGAGTCTTGCTCTGTCGCCAGGCTGGAGTGCAGTAGCGTGACCTCAGCTCACTGCAACCTCCATTTCCTGGGTTCAAGTGATTCTTCTGCCTCCGCCTCCCAAGTAGCTGGGACCGTGGGTGCGCACCACCACACCCAGCTAAGTTTTAATTTTTGTAGAGACGAGGTTTCACCATGTTGGGCAGGATGGTCTCTATCTCTTGACCTCGTGATCCACCCGCCTCGGCCTCCCAAAGTGCTTGGATTACAGTCGTGAGCCACTGTGCGGAGCCAAAGCACCTATTATTTTCTCAATGGCTTGGTAGATTCCAATAGAGAAAATAGGATGAGCAAAGAGAGAAGTCAGATGAGGGACCAGATGGACCAGAATGGAATTAACATGTGGAGATAATAGAGAAATGATTGAATATTTAGGAAGATCTTTGAAGAGTTCTAAAAGGTAGGCCAATATACCTTCTTGTTAATTTTCCCTTTTGTTTACAGGCATGCATGTAGGGAATACCGGATTCATAAAGAACTGGATCATCCCAGAATAGTTAAGCTGTATGATTACTTTTCACTGGATACTGACTCGTAAGTGCTGTGCTGTTTTACCTTAACAGTTATATTATTTTCTTGCAATGTTGATTGTTCATAGAATAGAGCTGAACTCTGGGTCTAGGACATACCCTCTGAGGGAACCAAATATATTAATTTGTGGACAAATGATCAAACATAAATTCAAATTTGGGTCAGTAAGAAACCTCTAGGCCAAAGGACCATGCACTTGTGTGCCAGTAAATGTTTAACAACCAGCTTGGTATGAAGAGAGACAGAGCTAATTTGTAGTGTTTGCCAGTTTCCGTAGTGTAGATATTCCTCCTGTGTCCAATTTTTATGTACCACCTGTTTATTTTTTTAAAAACATCTTAATTATTATTCACATACTGTATGATTCACACATGTAAAATATACAGTTTAGTGGTTTTCAGCATATTCATAGATATATACAACCACCAGAGCCAATTTTAGAATTTTTTCACCACCTCAAAAGAAACCCCATACCTTTTACTACTATTCCTCTATTCCACTATTCCATGCCTCTGCCCTCACCCTAATCTGTCTGTTTTATCTCTATAGATTTCCTATTCTGGACTCTCATATGCATGGAATCATATAGTATGTGGACTTTTATTGCTGGCTTCTTTCACTTAGCATGATGTTGTCAAGTTTCATCCTTGTAGCATGTATCGGTATTTCATTCCTTTTTATGACAAAATAATATTCCATCCTGTGGGTATACCACATTTTGCTTTTCTGTTTGTCCTACCAGTGGTTTGATAACCCGCTCACAAAACTCTTGAAAATTTAAGTCAGCTCTTGGAAACTGACATGAGTTGGTGCCAGCATGCCACTGACGTGCACTAGTGAGTGTAGACTGTTCAAGAGAGTTTCTGCTCACCCCAGAGACTTTTATGAACATTGCCAGACTTTTTTAAAAAAGTACTGGCTGTGTGATTTTATCCTAGAATGAGACAACAAATGTGGCACTAATGAAGACAAGGCTCAGTCAGTGCAACATGTTGAAATACAGGCTTATAGGCTTATAGGATGTTAGAATAGAAAGGGTTCTGAGTCCAGCCTTTTCGTTTTATAGGAGGATTTTGAGGACCAGAGAAGTTAAATGACTTGTCTGAGATCGTTGGTAATTGTGGTCATTGCTGTATTTTGTTACTTGGTATCGGTAAGCTCCTGTACCTCTGGGTTTACCCAGCAGTTTAGTTGGATATATCTCAACATTTGGAAATGTTTCTCTGTAGAAGTCTGAACTGAATCGGAATATGTCCTAGGTCTAGACTCCAGGTTCCCTCAGCCTCCCAGGGTAATTCTAGGAGTTTTAAGCCATCTCTGTTCTAGCCAACAGTCTCAGAGATGGCTGTGCAAATCGCTGGCTCACATTTAGAAATAACCCCAAAGAGGACTATAATTCCCTTTGGAAACATGACCTGGGCCATTCTCTCAGGGATTTCTTCTTCTCATTTGGATAGCCCTGGCACTGAGCTTAGCCATGTGTGTTTCACATGGAGTGGAATTTTTTAAAAAAGATCTAGTTAGAGGGCAGGATTGGGAAACCAGGGGCAGGTCATGACATCACTGTTTTGCTTTGAGTAGATTTCTTCAGTACTAGGTAGACCCCCCTCTCTGAACTATTAAATCAGGCTCAAATTATCTGCTGTTTTGAATTGTATACACACTTTTAACTAATGTGAGAAATTGAGTTGGTTCTATACTATTCTCGAGTTGATTACTTTGTTCTTTCTATTGCATGTATGATGAATTTTCACCAAAAATAAGTCAGACCATGATTTTTAGAACATCTTCTGAGAATTGTTTGGGTATTAAAAGTAAGGCTTTATTTTATTATTATTAATTTTTTTTTGAGGCTCTGTTGCCCAGGCTGGAGTGCAGTGGTGCCATCTTGGCTCACTGCAACCTCCGCCTCCCAGGTTCAAGTGATTCTCCTACCTCAGCCTCCCAAGTGGCTAGGATTACAGATGCACGCCACCATGCCTGGCTAATTTTTTCTATTTTTAGTAGATACAGGGTTTCACCATGCTGGACAGGCTGGTCTTGAACTCCTGACCTTGTGATCCGCCCACCTCAGCCTCCCAAAGTGCTGGGATTACAAGCTTTAGCCACTGTGCCTGACTGAAAGTGAGGCTTTATTTTCAACTTGCATTTGGGTCAAAGAATCATTTCATTGAGCCATGAGTCTGTATTTCAGATTTCAGAATCTCAGGTCAGAGAAATCTATAAATTTCAGACATTTATTTTATTTTGTTTTATTTGAGATGGAGTGTTGCTCTGTTGTCCAGGCAGTAATGCAGTGGTATGATCTTGGCTCACTGCAACCTCCACCTCATGGGTTCAAGCAATTCTCATGCCTCAGTCCCTCAAGTAGCTGGGATTACAGGTGTGCGCCACCATACCTGGCCAATTTTATATATTTTTAGTAGAGACGGAGTTTCACTGTATTGGCCAGGCTGGTCTCAAACTCTTGGCCTCAAGTGATCTGCCCATCTCTGCCTTCCAAATTGCTGGGATTACAGCAGACATTTGTTTTCAGATACAGGGCTAGAATGCCCTGCTATGTTTCGTAAGATGCATAAGATATTGTTCGGTTTGTGGAGTCCACAGGACCATGTGTGTCCATATTCAATTGCAGTGCTTTATGAAGGCCTTAATTGCCCAGTGGCCCATAGCGCTAGTCCTAAACCTGTTTGCTCTCAGTTCTGTTCCTCACCCTTTTGCTGCTCTGTATCTTCGGGGGGTTAGTCCTTGTAGGCTGTGTTTACCAGGCCCATGTGTCCATTGGTGTCCTGCTGGTTTCAGCCAATGTGAAGCAGAAATGGGAGGGGGTCTCCACCTCCTCTCCCATCCTGCAATTCTAGTTTCCCCTGGTGACCCTGGGTTCTGGTTTCACCATCTCCTCCCTTCTGGCCCGCTCGCCTGAGGGTGCTAATGGCTTCCTGCTGTATGATCTCCAGGGTGCCTCACTGACCAGTTTGTCTTCTCAGCTCTTCCATCATCTGTATGATCAGTTCCCTGAATTAAAGTCTCTGTGTTTTAAATGATCAAGTGGTTTTGTTTTGTTTTCTTTCTAGGCTAGACCCTGACTGATACACCCACATTATCACAACTTAGAATACTTGAAAAGGTATTCATCCCTCAGGGATATTCACACAGTTCAGGACACCTTACTTCAGAGTATAATGCCTTGGAAGATAGGCACATGACCTGTGATGCCACAAATGCCATATGGTTTTATGTTTGGGTATGATATATTGACATAAGTGAAGGAAAGAGAGCCCGCATACATTTGTTAGAACCGTAGATGCTATACTTTACAAGCCCTTTTACACCTTATGTTTAAGAAATATTGTAGTGCAGTATTGTGCCAAGCTGTCAGGAGACATAGTATGCAGTCAGTTTTTGGGACATGGGCAAACTCTAGATTCTTCCTCATTGTCAGCACTCAGGGTTATATAAAATGTTTGCAGTGCGAATTGTATACCTAGCTGAAATTGTGCCACTGCACTACAGTGTAGGCAACAGAGTGAGACAGAGTCTCAAAAAAAAAAAAGGGAGAATTGTGTACTTGATCACATTCTAATTGTTTAGACATGGATGTGTGACATGGGTGTGTAAAGGAGCCCCTTCCAAGAAGATACCTAGCTTAAATACATTATAGTTCTTATCGGTATTCTTATAGTCTAGACTCAAGAAGAGGTCTGCCATGGGTGAACCCGAGCACAACAGATTCCAACATTGAGGGTGTGGAGACTCTTCAAGAGAATAAGCAGTTTCTTACTAGAAACCCCTCAGCTAATACTGAATAAAGAATCGAAGAGTATTTTAAGAAACAAAGAAGAAAGGAGTGAGAAGCTAATGACGTGAAGTTTTCACCTGGGACTGATTTAGGTAGTCTTAATCTGCTTGCTCTTATTCCATGGTTAAATGTTGGTTTATTTGTTTTTAGGTTTTGTACAGTATTAGAATACTGTGAGGGAAATGATCTGGACTTCTACCTGAAACAGCACAAATTAATGTCGGAGAAAGAGGCCCGGTCCATTATCATGCAGATTGTGAATGCTTTAAAGTACTTAAATGAAATAAAACCTCCCATCATACACTATGACCTCAAACCAGGTATGTCTGACTTTTAGGAGACAGTATTAGTTGGTTTTCTTTGGTCTTGTCTCCTTTTAGGAGACAGTATTAGTTGGCTTTCTTTTTGGTCTTATGACTTTTAATTTGATAAAGTTAGAGAAATTCACAGCAGCCAAGACAGGCTAATAACATCTGACTTTTGATTGCCTGGGTAGGTGTGGGAAAAAAGAGTCCTGGCCAAGCAGGACTGGGTTTAGGAGGGTGTGTTGGATTAAATACTCTGGAGAAACAATACCTTTATCTTTGGAGCCAGGGCAGTTCATGAGGTAAGTCTCATTAAGAAAGAACTGTTCCGGCACGTTCAGTTTTGTATTTTTCCCATGACTCATACTACGTAACAGTTCCTCTGCTTCAGGTCTCTTTGATAAGAGCCCCCAAATTAATAACTTATTTTACTTATGTGCCTCCCATTTCAATAAATTTCAAGCAGAATTTTTCATCTTTTTGTATGGTTATTATCTAGCTTTGATGGTCATCAGCAAAGAGTACAGGGCAGCTAGAGTCCTTACCTCTATTTTTTATTATTATCTTGAGCTGTGGTTTAGAAATCTGCATATGTTCTATAGACAACTCTTAACAGCTTAGCTTGGGCATTAGGAAGATGGTCCACATTTACCTTCTGGTGTTGCAAAATTGTAAACTTTGCTTTACTCTTCTGGTAGGTGCATATTACATCTCATTGACTATTCTCTAATGTTCTAATATAACTCAGATGACTATAACATTAATTATAATGAAGAAATTTTTTAAAAGATGGCTATTTTGTGAATGACTTTTCCATAACTGAATTCAACACTTTTCCTGCCATGGGAGCTGTAGGTGGTGCTGTGGTGCTAGCTTTGGTTCCCTTACATGTTTTCTTTGATTCCTCCCCCACACCCCAAGTACTGTTCTAAACAGGGTAATTTAGAGATCCTCACTGAAAGTTCAGATGAAAGTGTCCCGTCATTTTTGACCAAGTGAACAAGGATATTTTACTTTAGCCAGTTATTGTTATTTCCAGAGTTCATCATAGTGGTGGTTTTGGCACATTAAGCAGGTGATTCTTAGAAAACAGAAGTTTCAGCAGATGCGGAGGGCTCTCCCTGAGTATCCAGAGTCCAGATTGCTTGATTCCCAAGATGTGGATGTTTGCTTTTGCAAGAATTTGAGTTCTTATCTGCTATTACTTTGGGTTTTTCTCTTAATCAGTAAGTCTCTGCTTATTCATGAAGGTTTTTATTTTTTAGGTAATATTCTTTTAGTAAATGGTACAGCGTGTGGAGAGATAAAAATTACAGATTTTGGTCTTTCGAAGATCATGGATGATGATAGCTACAATTCAGTGGATGGCATGGAGCTAACATCACAAGGTGCTGGTACTTATTGGTAGGTATCCAGGAGCTCTGCCAGGTTGGCTATAGAGATGTGGCTCTGCTCTGCTGAAGTGTTGATAATGAATTAATTGCTGTATTCTATCTGCTAGGCAAAAATCCATAAACCAAAGCAGACTTTCTCCCCAAATCGTTACTATCTTTTCAGCAGTTTGACTCTTGGTATTTACATTAATTTGTCTTAATTTTTCTTTCCTTTCTTGAAAACCCTTAAGAAGGAGAGCTTATATGTGGCCAGGTATTTGAAATGTATGTTTTCTGCACAGAGCTGGCCTTGCAAGTCAGTAGAGAGCAAGGTTGCTCATGTGGTGTATATAAAGAATGGCCCCAAAATCTTTCTCGTCCAAATACAGGTCTCTCTTCATGGGTTAATGGGATAAGGGATTTGTCTCAAGCGTTGCCTGAGGATGTTGGACCGTAGGGAGTTATGAGGATCAGAATGAAACGTAACTATAGCACGTATGAAATCTATACAGGAAAAAGTGACCACAATTTACCAGAAGTTTATCCGTGTCTGTTAGCCATGTTCTGAAAGTTTTTGAGGCACATTTCTTCCCATCTCTTGTCACCTGTCTTTCCCTAGCCACCCCACCCAAGCTAGCTCAGCCTGCCAGTTTTATGCTTCTATTTCTGCCTACAGTAGCCTTTGGCCATTAGAACCATAAAAGATACCTGAAACTCAGGCCTTTAACTCTATGGTTATAAAAGTGTGTTAACAAAGCTTCCTCTTCCATTTTGAGGTAGTCACACAAGCCACATATTGGTGTATATAAAGAATGGCCCCCAATTTTTTTTTAGTCCAAATACAAGTCTCTCTTCACGGCTTAATGGGATAAGGGATTTCTTTCAAGAGTTGCAAAAGAAGGCTCTATAGCACCAACAGAGGGGCAACACATATTATTTGTACCCCAGGGAAGGTGGTCAAATCACTTACCTTTGGAACTGGAGGGTCCTGGACCTTAGCAGAGAGTACTGACTGTCTGGGAATCAGAGGTAGAGGAGGAAGCAGAGGGGCATGGTCTTCACAACACACAGCATCAGCCCTGTGCTTATCATGAAGCTTGCCAATAACACCATGGACACAATGCCCTAGTTTCTGTTGCTCCTTACGGCTTGTGAAAATGGTACCTATAGTAAAAAGTCAGTCCTTAAATTAAAACTTTGAAATTATAGATTTAAAATAGAAGCTACATTTACAGTGTTTATTCACTGTGGTGGTTATTGTGGGCTAGTGTTCCTGTCACTGAGTGATACAAAAATATCTGCTGCTGAAAGTTCTGGAAACAGGTCTATACCTCTGCTATATAAATTCACTGGAATTTGGATTTGAGCTTTGTGTTTGATAGTTTGTTTTTTTTTTAAGGCACAGTTTTTTCGCATTTAAAATAGTTACTGCTATAGTTCCTTACCTACAAAAATTCAGTGATTAGAATTTAAGTAAAAATTATGTGATGCTAGGGATTTTGCTTCAAAGTAGTCTGTAGGGAAAAATGGTGAAGATTGGCCACATGTTGATAATTCTTGAAGCTGGATGGTGCTTACTTAGGGGGTCATTTTACTGTTCTTTCTCCTTTAGATTATAGTTGAGATTTTTAATAATTTAAAGTAAGACAGGGCTTCTGAGAAGATTAAGTGTTAGAGGTTTCTATGAAGGTTTGAAGAGTCTCCAAATTGGTAGAAATATTGTCATAATCACCATCCTCAGTATGTCAGATAAAAATAATCCTGAAGGGTATAACAAATTATAAGTTAACTATTTGCAGTATTTGGTGGTTGCAGAACTCTACTACGTTGAATACTTCTCTTATTTATTTATCTATTTATTTATTTGAGACAGAGTTTCGCTCTTGTTGCCTGAGCTGGAGTGCAATGGCGTGGTCTCGACTCACTGCAACCTCTACCTCCCGGGTTCAAGCGATTTTCCTGCCTCAGCCTCCCGAGTAGCTGCGATTATAGGCACCCGCCACCACGCCCAGCTAATTTTTTTGTATTTTTAGTAGAGACAGCTTTCACCATATTGGCCAGGCTGGTCTTGAGCTCCTGACATCAGGTGATCCACCTGCCTCGGCCTCCCAAAGTGCTGGGAATATAGGCGTGAGCCACCGCGCCTGGCTGAATACTTATTTTAAAGAAGTGACACATAGACTATGCCTTGAGAATAATTTGTTTTTTGTATGGGGATTTTGATTGTGATGGAATATGCAACTACATATTTTTTTAACACAGTTTAGTATCATAGAGCTGTCTTTTACTCTCCTCCCAAAATCCTTGATAGTAAGTTAGGATGCTTATTATTTTCCATATTATTTGGGTGAAGAATTAATTTCATTTACTTACAGATGGAGAAACTGAGACCTAGAAAGGGATTTGCCAGACATGTACAATCAAGTGACAGGGCTTTTTATATTCTAAAAATCTTGCTGGCCTGGCGGGTGGCTCATGCCTGTAATCCCAACACTTTGGGAGGCCAAGGCAGGCGGATCACGAGGTCAAGAGATCGAGACCATCCTGGCCAATGTGACGAAACCCCATCTCTACTAAAAATACAAAAATTAGCTAGGCATGGTGGTGCATGCCTGTAATCCCAGCTACTCTGAGGTTGCAGTGAGCCACGGTCGCGCCACTGCACTCCAGCCTGGCAATGGAGCAAGACTCTGTCTCAAAAAACAAAAACAAAAACTCTTGCTAACTTATTTTCTGCATTTGGGTGAGTTCAGCAACTCCTGTTCTTCCCTGCCACTGCCAAAAAAAAGTTATAAATACATTTAAATGATCATTTTAGAATTAAGGTTATATTTGTTACTTATCCAAGATCATATTTAAGTTATGTGTATTAAAAAATCAAGAATTGGCCGGGCGCGGTGGCTCAAGCCTGTAATCCCAGCACTTTGGGAGGCTGAGACGGGCGGATCACGAGGTCAGGAGATCGAGATCATCCTGGCTAACACGGTGAAACCCCATCTTTACTAAAAAATACAAAAAACTAGCCGGGCAAGGTGGCAGGTGCCTGTAGTCCCAGCAGGAGAATGGCGTAAACCCGGGAGGTGGAGGTTGCAGTGAGCCTATAGCGCGCCACTGCACTCCAGCCTGGGTGACAGAGTGAGACCCTGTCTCAAAAAAAAAAAAAAAAAAAAAAATCAAGAATTGGCCGGGTGTGGTGGCTCACGCCTGTAATCCCAGCACTTTGGGAGGCTGAGGCAGGCGGATCATGAGGTCAGGAAATCAAGACCAGCCTGGCTAACGTGGTGAAACCCTATCTCTACTAAAAATACAAAAAATTAGTCGGGCGTGGTGGCACACGCCTGTAATCCCAGCTACTTGCGTGGCTGAGGCAGGAGAATTGCTTGAACCTGGGAGGCAAAGGTTACAGTGAGCCGAGATTGCACCACTGCCCTCCAGCCAGAGTGAGACTCCATCCCCCCCCACCCCAGAAAAATCAAGAACTATGAAAACTAGGGTTCACGGCGGTTTCAGTAGCTCTTGGAAGATCTATTCTTTTTACAAATTCTTTTTCCTTTATTTCTTTGCCTTTTTCCCTTCTTAATGAGTCCTATATTTCATTTCTCAATGTGTGCTTTGGCTAAAAGTTTTCATTGTAAAATAATAATCTAGTTAAAGGTCTTAATCATCCAAAAATGTTTCTTAGGCTGGGCACGGTGGCTTACTTAATCCCAGCGCTTTGGGAGGCTGAGGTGGGCGGATCACTTGAAGCCAGGAGTTCGAGACCAGCCTGGCCAACATGGTGAAAACCCGTCTCTACCAAAAAATACAAAAATTAGCCACACATGGCGGCGGGCACCTGTAATCCCAGCTACTCAGGAGGCTGAGGCAGGAGAGTTGCTTGAACCTGGGAGGCGGAGGTTGCAGCAAGCTGAGATCACGCCAGTGCACTCCAGGCTGGGCAACAGAGCAGGACCCTGTCGCGAAAAAAAGTCTCTTACTAATAAAAAATAAGAAACAAGAATATGAAACTAGAACTTTTTTTTAAAAGAAAGAAAGGCTGTCATCTGAAACTAAATTTGATAGAGATGGATCAGAGAAGGAATATTTTGCCTCTGAACTCATGTGGTCCCCTTCAATCTGTAAGTTGTATTCCAGGATGAGCATAGGGTCCAAATACAGAATTTTCCACAGGATTGATTTTGCTAGTATGAAATCTTCAGAAATCAATCGGTAATCTTCAGAATTCTACCTTCCAGCCTTGATGTGGCTAAGACTCCAGCTGTATTTATTTGGTTTCCTAAATACAAGAGGTACTTACCTTCCATACCATACAATTTGGTGTGGTTGGCTATCACATATTAAACAGTTTCTTCAGAGACCAGTGGTGGGGAGGGAAGGAATTTAGATGAGGAATGAGTTGTTCTAACAACTAGTTTGGCCTTTGCTACACTATTTGTTAGTTTTCCAGTAAGCCCCTGATCACCCTTAAAGTAGGAAATATAAAATACCTTCTGAGCCAGGTGTGGTGGGTGGTGCACCTGTAAATTCCAGCCACTTGGGAAGTCCAAGGTGGGAGGATCGCTTCAGATCAGGAGTTCCAGAGCAACCTGGACAACAGAGTGAGACCTCATCTCTAAAAGAAAAGAAGTGTCTTCTGAAAATGAGGACTTTATTGTCATCTTTGATATTGGAATCATAAGAGGCTACCATAAGAAGGTAGGATAACCTCTGCCCTCAAATATCTGTACTGGGTCCTGAATTCATTTGGACTTTTTTTTTTTTTTTTGAGACGGAGTCTCGCTCTGGCACCCAGGCTGGAGTGCAGTGGCCGGATCTCAGCTCACTGCAAGCTCCGCCTCCCGGGTTCACGCCATTCTCCTGCCTCAGCCTCCCGAGTAGCTAGGACTACAGGCGCCCGCTACTATCCTGGCTAATTTTTTGTATTTTCAGTAGAGATAGGGTTTCACCGTGTTAGCCAGGATGATCTTGATCTCATGACCTCATGATCCGCCTGCCTCAGCCTCCCAAAGTGCTGGGATTACAGGTGTGAGT